TGATCCACCGTGCCAGGCTGGTTATCAAGTTTTAGGGAGGATACCTGAGCTGCTAGTTTTATAAGAAAGTGAGAAAAAACTGTTTTTGTGTTTTCCCTTGCTCAATGCCTATAGGCAAGTTTTCTTAAAAACAAGATATTGCTTACCGTTCCCTTCATGTTCTGTTTATGCTCCATTTGGAGGGCATTTCAGCTCAAGGGAGAGAGGTATGGGAGGCCCCTTGAGGACGTATCTCAGGATCACTACTTTCTCACTCATTCCTTTGGAACATAGAATCCCTTCTGCTCACTGGCCGCTTAAAGAGGCAGCTGAGTTGGATGTTCTTTGGCCTGATGTCTGGAGTCAGCTTGCATGTAGTGCAGGGTGGCTGTGTCTTAGCCCTTACTTAGCCATGAGTAGTAAGATGAGGGCCTACTGGAGAGCGAGAGCAGGACTGTGTTTGGGCAGGGAGTGAGGGGCCCTGGGGTGGCCAGAAAGGCAGATGGCAGTGCCCTGTCATCTTCAGCCCAGAAAAGGCCATTTGTAAGGAGGACCATCATTGTCAGAACTGGCTGGGAACTGGGGACAGTCATGCTGTGGGGTGGGGGTGGACAGGGAGATATTTGAAGAGTGTGAGTACGAGGGCCCCTCTTTGCAGAAATGAGGTTAGGGCATTAGTGTTTGGAATTCTGCAGCTCTGGGGAGTGGCTGTGAGCAGAGAGGGGCCCTGGTTCGGGCACTGGGTGTTTGTGGTGGTTGTGGGTGGGATGGGTATGGCAGCTTGGAGAAAGCCCCGGACCCCTACCCTGAACCTCTAACTTGTGCCTCTTGTCCCTGTCTTCACCAGACAGAGCCACCATGGGGACGACAGCCCCAGGGCCCATTCACCTGCTGGAGCTATGTGACCAGAAGCTCATGGAGTTTCTCTGCAACATGGATAATAAGGACTTGGTGTGGCTTGAGGAGATCCAGGAGGAGGCCAAGCGCATGTTCACTAGGTGAAGGCAGGGGCACAGTGAGGGGATGGGAACACCAGCAGCGCCTGTCTGGGCTGCTTTGGTCTTGGGGACACAACAGCTCCTCGTCCCCACCTGCCTGGCAAAACCGACAGCCTGTCAGGGCTCCCTGCTGTATACTCCGTGTGCAGTGTGCTAGGGGCCCGACCTAGTGTCATGGGAAGGGGCAGCAGGAGAGATCGAGTCCCTTGCCTGTTCGCCATTGTTGCTGGCTGGGCCTCTCAGGGTATGGGGCAATGGACGTGCACCTGGGGGCTTGCTTCCTTGCCGTGTCTCCAGGAGGAAGCCCTGAGTGCCTGCAGGTGATTTGCACGTGACCTTGGAGAGCTTGCTTAGTGCTGGTCACCCCAGCTTGACCTGTCGCGGCCAGGAAATGGGCAGGGGCCAAGCTGGGTGGGAGAGGGGACCAGCGGTTCCCAGGCAGCCTCGAGTGACACCCTCCTGTGCCAAACAGAGAGTTCAGCAAAGAGCCAGAACTGATGCCCAAAACACCTTCTCAGAAGAACCGACGGAAGAAGAGACGGATTTCTTATGTTCAGGATGAAAACAGAGACCCCATCAGGAAAAGGTAGGAACGGTTGGGGGAGGGTGAGCTGGGCAGTGGGCTCTGCGGAGGCTTGGTGCCATCTGGGAGAGTTCGATTCTGAAGATGTTGATTTGGAAGTAGCAGCCTGTAGGAGGGATGGTGGGTACCACCGCGGGTACTGCGTGGGCCATGCTGAGAGGGGTTGGGATGCCACGGGGAACTATAGCTTGACCCAAGACCCTGGAGTCCAGATCTGTGGCTGTGTGTTAGGGGCGGGGGTATTTGATCTGGGCCCTGGAGGCTGGGAAGTATTTCCATAGGTGGGATGAAAAAGAGAAGCCGTCCTTCTGTTAGGTGAATATGACCCGGGTGTGGACCACGTGGCTTGTCCCAGCCCTCATATTGTCATGCTTGTTTTAGTCCCCATCAAGAATGACTGGGGCTGCAGCGTGCTAGGGAAAGAGGCTGGGTCTTGGGGTTAGACCTGGGTGCGAACCCCAGCTCTGCCCCTTAGCAGAGCAGTATGGCTTTGAATTGAATTTTTGCCTCTGAGCCTCTGTTCCTCATCCCCAAAATGGGGATAGTGGTCCCTACCTCCCAGGGCCGTGCTCTGGATTAAGGGAGAGCGTGTGTAAGGCTTTCAGCGGGGGCTTGGTGCGGTGTGACTTCCGTCAGCCACCGGTGTGGATGAATATAATCTTCCTAGCCAGTTCTGTGAGGACTGTGCATGATCCCCAATTTACAGTTAGGCAGACTGAGGCTCAGACAAGAATGTCCTGGGGCCTCCTGGCTAGAGGCGGCAGAATCTGGGCTGGAACCCAAGTCTTTTGCCTTCACATTCTCTCATCATACTCCATCCAAGCTGGTGGCTCTTGGGGAGACTGGGCGCCACCCTGTCCTGCTGCCTGTCTCAGCCTCTGCCCTGCTGCCCCTGCCAGGTTATCCCGCAGAAAATCTCGGAGCAGCCAGCTGAGCTCCCGACGCCTCTGCAGCAAGGACAGTGTAGAGAAGCTGGCCACGATGGCGGGGGAGAACGGCTTCGTCCTGCGGCGTGTGACCCGTGCTGCGGCTGCGGCTGCTGCGGCCACCATGGCATTGGCTGCACCTTCTTCGCCCACCCCTGAGTCTCCCACGATGTTGACCGAGAAGCCCAAGGATAACCGCACCCATTGCCAGCTGGTGCCTGTGGTGGAGATTGGCATCAGTGAGCGCCGCAATGCTGAGCAGCATGTCACCCGGCTCGTGTCCGTCCAGCCTCTGCCCCGTACTCTGTCCCCGACTCTGGCTTCAGCCACAGCTCCAGCCTCCCAGGGCATCCTGACATCGGATGAGGAATCAACACCTAAGAAGTCAAAGGCCAGGATACTGGAGTCCGTCACAGTGAGCTCCCTGATGGCTACACCCCAGGACCCCAAGGGTCGAGGGGTCGGGACGGGGCGGTCTGTGTCTAAGCTCAGGATTGCGCGGGTCTCCCCTGGCCCACGGGACTCGCCAGGCTCTCCAGACTCTCCGTGGCGGGAGCGGGTGCTGGCTCCCATCCTGCCGGATAACTTCTCTGTGCCCACGGGCTCTCCCGCGGACTCTCAGTCGGTGCAGCACAGCCTGGTCGCCCCGTCCTCCCTGAGTCCCCAAGTCTTAGCCCAGAAGTACTCTCTGGTGGCCAAACAGGAAAGTGTTGTCCGCAGGGCGAGCAGAAGGCTTGCCAAGAAGACTGCCGAAGAGCCCGCTGCCTCTGGCCGCATCATCTGTGAGTCTGGGGGCTTGGCAGTGGCGGGTGGTCCTTGGTGCCAGGCTCAGATGGAGGGTTTCTGAGGGATCATCTAGCAAGGAGCTGTCCAGAGAGCTTTCTGCAGTGAGGTGGATGTTCCACATCTGTGCTGTCCTGGGTGGTGGCTGCTAGCTGGCCCCATCTGGCGATTGTGTCCTCAAAATGTGGCTAGTCTGATTGAGGAACTGAATTTTAAATTGTATTGCATTGTAATTTTTTTAGATTTAAATAGTTACATGTAGCTAGTGGTTTCCACGTTGGATGGTGCAGATCTGACCCAACCTACTTGCTTTACAAGTGAGGAAATTGAGCTTCGGGGAGGTTGGCCACCATGTGGCCGTAGTTACTGGCCATGTTGAGGCTGGAGCCTGGGCCTCTTACCCAGGGCCGGCTCGTTCCTCCCAACCCCGTGCTGCAGAGGCTGCTTAAATTCACCGGGTTTGTGCGCCGCCATTAGCGACACTGCATTTGATCTGGAGGAGGGAATTATGGCAGCAGGTTCCTTCTGGCAGATCAGATGACTGGGCATCTGATGGGAGCCAGGAGGGGGAACCAAGCTGACTCTGGAGCTGGCCAGCATGGGTCTGAGTGCCAACTCAGCCATTCACTTACCCCGCAGCCTGGGGCAGGTCCTGGAAACTTCACGGGCCTCCACTCCTCGCCTGTCAACTGGGGCTAATCGCGTCACTTCAAAGGGTCGTTGTGAGGTTTTCTTTGGTCCCTCTACACGGGGTGTTTAGAAGGGTGCCTGGCGTATGGGAAGGACTGGGTAACGTTAGCTGCTCTCTCAGATCTCAGCTAAGGGGGCCGTTGCCCACTGGAGCAGGTGTCTGGAGGGGCGGCTGGCTGCATGAGGAGGAGGTGAAGTCTGAGCTAGGAGGGTTCTGAAGGATGGCTGCGCTTTTGCTAAGCGGAAAAAAAAAATGCGGGGATATGTATTCTTGGCAGAGGGAACAGCTTGTACAAAGACCCTGATGCCTAAAGCAACAAGTGATGGGGGTCTGGGGCTCATGTCTCACACAAGAGCTTGAACTTGACCCCACCGAAGCAAAAGAAGTGGCCTGATGATGGTGAATGGAGGGAAACAGGGAGACCAGATAGGAGGCTGTTGTAAGGATGCAGCCAGAGGATGGGCGAAGCAGCGGATTGGTGGTGAGGATAGGCCAGGATTTATCTTTTTTCTTTTTTTTTTTTTGGATGCAGAGTCTCACTCTGTTGCCCAGACTGGAGTGCAATGGCACGATCTCGGCCCACTGCAACCTCTGCATCTCGGGTTCAAGCAATTCTCCTGCCTCGGCCTCCCGAGCAACAGGGATTACAAGCGCCTGCCGCCACACCAGGCTCATTTTTTTTTTGTTTTTTAGTAGAGATGGGGTTTCACCATGTTGGCCAGGCTGGTTTCGAACTCCTGACCTCAAGCCTCACCCAGTCTACCAAAGTGCTGGGATTACAGGTGTGAGCCACTGCGCCCAGCCCAGGTTTTATCTTAACGCATATTAAATAGTAGCTGGCATCTGCCAGGCACTTTAAGATTTATAAAAGGAAAAGTTATTTCATTTGGTCCTTACAGCAGCACTGTTAGCTTGTGAGGAATTTTTCACTTTATAGAGGAGGAAACTGAGGCTTAAGGAGGCCATGGAATCTGTAAATCGGGAAGCTGGGGCTTGAGCACTGCATGTTTCATTCTGTCCAGAAAGTCAGGTGCTTGCAGAAGAGGCTTTGTGCAAGGCCCCAGGGCAGGGCCTGTCAGGCAGGGGAGGGCACCTCACCTTGGCAGCCTTCTCTGTGCCTGAGTCTCACTGCCTGGGGACGGGCCTGCTCCAGTGTTTGAGGTGACGCAGTCTGGGGCGTGTCCAGATGTGCAGTCTGGCACACTGTCTATTTCTGGATTCTCAGAAGGATCTAAATGGTTCTGATCTGTTTTGGAGATTTTCTCAGGCCTGGATCTGATCTTGGGAAGGGGCCCAAGGGGGCAGGTGAGGCTGGGCCTGTAGAGGGAGAGCCAGGCGGGGTTGCAGAGAATCTCAGACCTTTGGAGCAGACATCCGGCTCTGCAGCTCATGCCCTTCCATCACTTTTCCCTCTCTATCTACCTGTTCCCTGCCAAAGAATGGGCTTCTGATTTGACTGCTGCATGTGACCTAGGTCTGTCTGACTCCCAGCCCAGCATCATCTCTCTTCCTAAGGTGGGTAGAGGAGAGAGAGGAGGACACAGGATCTAGGATCTGCAGTTACACAGACCCTGGGTGACCTTGGGCACACCCCTTCTCTCAGCCTCAGTTTTTCTGTGTGAAATGGTGATAACACTGGCTTTGAATGTGAGTAGATAACTCATCTCAGTGCTTGGGTGTAGTGGATACTCAGTACACCTTATTTGAGAAAACTCACCAACGGCTGACACTCAGTTTGGGTGTGACAAGGCCGACCCCTAGCGAGGAGCCGCAAGGGTGTCAGGGAGTGGGGCGGTGACGCGGAGGAGGCTTCCCGGGGGTCTCCCAGATCCCAGGTTCTGGGAGAGGCTCTCGGGCAGCTGCGAGGTGGGGTCTTGGTTTGGATTTTCCCCATGAGCAGCACTTGACACAAGGATTTGAGTTCAGTTCATTAATTTTTGAGACATTAACGAGTTTAATGTCTCAAAAATTAAATTCGGGATGGGAAGGAAACACCTGCACCAGAGGAATGGGAAAATGAGACAGGAAAAAAAGCCAGCAGGCAGGATGGGCCGAGGGGGCCTCTGGAAGCCAGAGTGTGGCCCCGAGGCGTGGAACTGCTGTGTGCCGGCAGGAATCCCCTGCCTCCTGGCCTGGTGCGCACCTGCCTGCGGGGCCTGCGGGGCAGCAGTTCTGAAGTGGATAGGAAGGGACAGGCCCACTGCCACAGGGCTCCACCTTGGGGCGTTCGAGCCACCTCCGCATTGGAGAACAGCCCTTCCGTCCCTCTGCCAGTGCTTGGGCCACTTCCCCACCACCAGACCAGCTCCGAGGCCTGAATGGCGTGCAGATGGCACTTAGCATTCCAGAGAACCCTTGTGCTGGTGGGAGAGCCATGTAGTCACGTGGCATCTTCATCAGGGAGCACATGAGCTGGGATGACACTGCATGGGGAGATGAGGGGGACGTATCTTCTGGGTATAGACCCCTTAAATGGGGGTCATCACCACCCGTGACTGTCAGCCCGGCCCTGCAGCTGCTCCCACCACCTCCCCAAACCTGGCTACTATACCCAGGAAGGGTTCCGGCTTCCCTTCTCTGTGGCCTGTTGTCTTCCCTGTTTTCCTGAGACCCTGTGCGCCCCAACCTCCCACTGGCCGCCTCCCAGCCTGAACTCTGGCCAAGCCCCCATGGCTCAGGATGCGCCAGCTCAGCTACCTTCTCTCCGTTCCCCAAAAAAGCCTCTTTTTTTCCTGCCTCGTGGCCTTGGCCCTCCTTCTCCCCAGACCAGTGGCACTGGGAACAGGCATGCTCCCAGCTAGGAAGAAGCCAGGGACGTAAAGCTAGCAGCTGTGGTGAGGATGCCAGGGTTAGGGCTGAGGGTGAGGGCCCCGGGCTTCCTGTTTTTAATGATTAAGCCTCAGCCTCAAAAAGCTTTTGACAGCCTGGACAAGATGGCCAGACCCTGTCTCTACCAAAATGGGGAAAATTAGCCAGGTATGGTGGCAAGTGCCTGTAGTCCCAGCTACTCAGGAGGCTGAAGTGGGAGGATTGCTTGAACCCAGGAGGTCAAGGCTGCAATGAGCTGAGATTGCGCCACTGCACTCCAGCCTGGGTGACAGAGTGAGACTTTGTTAAAAAGAAAAAAAAAAGCTTTGATTATGAGGTTTTATCTTTTGATAGTTATTGTATTAGAAATTAAAACAGGATTTTAAAAGTGTTTAAATTTTAGTTAAGATTTTTATATGAATATCTAGTACTTTAAAGATTTAAAAATATTGTTTAGTATTTTGACATTGCAAAATGTAAGTACCAAGCCTATCACCTGTTTACATTAAGACTTTTTATGAAAAAATAACTTTTCCAAAACAAAAATGTACTGAGGAGACTGGCATTATTCTACATTTTGCAAATCTCTTTATCGTGTGACTTTAAAGAAGCCTCATTCTGTGTTTGATCTGTTGTTGCATTGTGCTGTTTGGGTTAAAGTAACTGAAGAACTGGCCGGGCGCGGTGGCTCACACCTGTAATCCCAGCACATTGGGAGGCTGAGGCTGGCGGATCATGAGGTCAAGAGATCGAGACTATCTTGGCCAACATGGTGAAACCCCATCTCGACTAAAAATACAAAAAATTATCTGGGCGTGGTGGTGTGTGCCTGTAGTCCCAGCGACTTGGGAGGCTGAGGCAGGAGGATTGCTTGAAACCGGGAAGTGGAGGTTGCAGTGAGCCGAATTCACACCACTTCACTCCGGCCTGGGTGACGGAGTGAGACTCTGTCTCAAAAAAAAAAAAAAAAAAGTAGCTGAAGAACATCTGGCCTCACACAGACGTGTAGTTGGGAAAGGGAGGAATATCTTCATAGCTTTTTCAGATAATTGTGCATATTCTTTGTTATCAGGACCAGCGCAAGAAGTGGTAGTTCTTCAAGGTTTGTTGTGGTGTAGTCTGAAACCATGTTGCTGGTTCCATAGGGGTCTACCTTGCACCTTTTTTTTTTTTTTTTTTTAAAAGATGAAATCTCACTATGTCACCCATGCTGGAGTGTAGTGGCATGATTTTGGTTCACTGCAACCTCTGCCTCCCGGTTCAAGAAATTCTCTTGTCTCAGCCTCCTGAGTAGCTGGGATTACAGGCGCCCACCGATGCCTGGCTAATTTTTGTCTTTTTAGTAGAGACGGGGTTTCACCATGTTGCCAGGCTGGTCTCAAACTCCTGATCTCAAATCATCCATCCGCCTCGGCTTCCCAGAGTGCTGGGATTACAAGCGTGAGCCACCACGCCCAGCCACACTTTGATCTTTTAGATATGTGTGATTTCATAACCGCATACATCGATCATTTGGAAAATATTGCTTCACCAGGTTATGCACGTCTTCCAAGTGTTGACACCCTTCATTGTATAACATCCTAAAAAAGCACATTTGTTTTCTGACCTCATCAGAAAAGTCCTTAGGTATTAGGATGCTGTGGCCCTGCTGGTGGTGGATACGCGCTTTTCAAAATTCTACTCTTGGATTCTTTTTGTTTCAATTTTTAAATTATTGTTAGCACATGGTGTTTTATTTTTGTGATGGATTCACTTCATTGACTTGTGAGAAAATGTCTTCCAGATAGCCAAGATTGAATAACCAATGTGTGTCAGTCATTCTTTTAAATAATAATAGTGTTCCAGGTGAAGAAGTGGCTAGTGCAGCTGGCGGCTTAGAGACAAGCGCTTTTCGCGGAGAGTTGCGTTTGCAGCAACAGGTGTTTGGCACACTTCCCACCTCAGCACACAGGAGAGTAGAAATGGCATGTACTTGAGTTTAGATTTAGTAAAATTAGGACTTTTGCAGGCGTGGTGACTCACGCCTGTAATCCCAGCACTTTGGGAGGCTGAGGCAGGTGGTTCGCTTGAGGATGAGTTCGAGACCAGCCTGGCCAACATCGCGAAACCCTGTCTCTACTAAAAATATAAAAAATTAGCTGGGTGTGGTGGTACGTGCCTGCAATTCCAGCTAATTGAGAGGCTGAGGCACAAGAATCGCTTGAACCCAGGAGGTGGAGGTTGCAGTGAGCTGAGATTGAGTCACTGCATTCAGCCTGAGTGACAGAGTGAGAGTCTGTCTCCAAAAAAAAAAAAAAAAAAATTAGTACTTTTTACACCTTCATCAAGGACATTCCTCAGTGAAACTGGACATCTCTCCTTCCTGTGAGTGTGTGGTCCGAGGATAGTGTTTGATGCTCTGGCCTCAATTGGGGCTGAGGCTTCAGCAGCTTGTTCCTCATTGCTTTTGTGCCCTCAGGGCAAGTGTCAGCACAGTGAAAGGGGGAAAGTAATATTTTAGTATCATGTTTAGTTATGACCTCGTGGATTCCCCCAAGGGTCTCAAGGACATCCAGGGATCAGAGAATGCAAGCTGAGAACCACTGGCCTGGACATCCTCCTCCTTTGTAAACTCCTCCAGACCAACTCAGGTCCCCCCGTCACAGGCTTTTAAAATTCTCTGCTCTGGACCCGGCGCGGTGGCTCACGCCTGTAATCCCAGCACTTTGGGAGGCCTAGGCGGGTGGATTACTTGAGGTCAGGAGTTCAAAACCAGCCTGGCCAACATGGTGAAAGCCCGTCTCTACTAAAAATACAAAAATTAGCCAGAAATCGCTTGAACCCAGGAGGCGGTGGTTGCAGTGAGCTGAGGTTGTTCCACTGCACACCAGTCTGGGCAGCAGAGCGAGACTCCGTCTCAAAAAAAAGAAAAAAAATTTCTGTGCTGTGTTCCATCATTGGCCATGCTGGTGTTGTTGACGGGACTATTTGATGATTGTTATCTAGACCAGACAGTGGTTCTGTTTTGCTCACCGTTGGGGCCCTGGGGCCTGGCTCAGGTCCCAGTACACTGTAGGCACTTGATGAATATTTGTTAACAGAATGAGCTGCTTTGTCTTGGGCCCCATGCTGGGAGTTTGGGGCCTGGAGCTGCAACAGACATTGTCCCTCTTCTCAAGATATTCCCAGCCCAGTGAGGATGCCCAGCTGTGCCCAGATGGGCATGGGAAGACCATCTGGGAAGCAGCAGGGGACATGAAGCCAGGAACTCCGATAAAGACACTAGGATGAGTGCTGAGGGGAGGGTCCTGGGCATGGCAGGGCTAGTGATGGGAGCAGTGGCCAGGCCCTTGCTGGAACCTGGTCCCCTGGACCCCTTCAAGTGGGACCTATGTGGTTTCTGGTGACATCTTTTGTGCCTTTCTTTTCCCCCTCAGGTCACAGTTACCTGGAGAGGCTTCTGAATGTTGAGGTGCCCGAGAAAGTTGGGTGAGTTCAGTTCCAGGGCTTTGCAAGTGGGCAGGGCACACCAGGACAGGGAGCCAAGGTGAGCACCAAGGCTGGAAGCAATTCCTGGGCTGAGCCTTCCCCACTGATCCCTGACTGCCCAGGGGCTGCCCGTTTCCCCTGTCTGACCAGGCAGTGAGTGACGTGAGTGTTGGCCGCCTGGTCTCCTTGCAGCGCCCGTCAGTGTTGCTGGTTGCCTGGCCAGACCTGACCCTGGGGTGTGAGCTCCAGAGGTTGGGGGTGAGGCGGAGCTGCCAGCTGCCATTCAGACTGGCTGGGGTAGGATAGTGGTGCTCCAGGATTACACCCAGTGCTGCTTCTGGCCGGGACACAGACTCCTTTTCCTGGAGGCCGTGTTCTGCCATCACTAAAACCAGCCCCTCCCTCCTTCCTGCAGAGCAGAGGGTTTGTTCTTGGGATGGGGAAACAGGGTGACTGGGCAGACCTGCTGGCCTTGCCCGCCCCATGGTGAATGGAGAACAGACCACAAAAGAGATGCAGCTCACCTGGGTCCAAGAGGTGGAGGTGGAACTGAGGACAGGGCTCTGTGTCAGCTCTGTGGTGGGGTGCATGGGAGATGAAGCCACATTCTGAAGCTGACATCCCTCGTCTGCCCACGGAGCCATGGCTTGGAGCTGCCATCCTCCCATCCCGCAGGGGCTGTGGGTTGGTGGCCCTGGCCAGGGCACCTTGTGTTGACATTTTGAGTCCCCCATCCCTGGAGTGGGAGAGGGACTCCCTATGGGGGAGGGCTTGGACTAGCTGGGCAGTCCTCACAGAGTCCCCTCTTCTGTTTTCAGTCCTGAGCAGGAGTCCCCCGAGGAGGCTGAGCCGGTAGCGGCAGCTGAGCCAGAGGTAAGGCGGCTGCCTGGGGAAGGGAGGACTCACCTCTGGGGCTCCCGCTCTGCCCTGCGGCCATCCTGGGCCTTGGGTTCCAGGTCGAGACCCCTAAAGCCTTGGTTCTTTCCACAGGTCCCTGAGAACAACGGAAATAACTCGTGGCCCCGCAATGACACGGAGATTGCCAATAGCACACCCAACCCGAAGCCTGCAGCCAGCAGTCCGGAAACGCCCTCTGCAGGGCGGCAAGGTGAGGCTCCCTGACCTGCCGCTTTTAGTGCCCAGAGCCACAGCGGGCCTTGGTGGCCTCGGCCTGACCTTCTCTCTGGGGATAAGGAAGCCCTATTTCTGAGCCAGTAGGCTAAAGAGAAATTAAACCTGGGGGTGCAGAGATCCCTTTTGAGTCTGTAGGTTTCACCTCCCACTGTTGGGCTGGAGCTGTCACTGAGTGCTGCCTGGGGGGCTGTGGCTGGTTGGGACAGGAAGCAGGGGAAGGGGCTGCATTGGGGTACGGATATGAAGAGGCCAGGTCAAGGCCTTGACCTCGACTCCAGGGGCCAGTGGGAAGAGCCGTGGGCTGGGAATTGAACACGCACCTGGCCTCCTGCTTTGCCTCTGCTGCCAGCTCCTTTCTGACCTTTGTCGGTCCATCCCCGTCTAAAGAGGGCTGGAGAACAGTGGGTTTGGGCGTGTCCCAGGGTCCTGCTCACATCTCCCTGAGAAGGGTGCTTCTCTCTGGTGGGAAGTGCACTATAGCTATGAGATCTTGAACGTGGCCTCCTCCTCTTTACGACGTGGTCAGGGACAATGGTCATGCCAGCCTCACGGCCCTCAGGGCTGCTGCGGGGAACTTTTGGAGTGACATGCACTTTCTCCTAGCAGTGAGATGAACATACTGACCCTACACCCCGCATGTTGACCCTGCAGCCGGAGCCACCCCCTCCTCCCGTCATGGCCACACCAGCCGCACGGCCCAGGAGGGGTGGGATTTAGAATCTGTGCAAGGGGCTTAGAGCTCCTGCTTCTACAAGGTGTCCACACACTGTTCTTAGTGTCAGAGGTGGGTGGGGCACGTCTGGGGCTGCCGCCTCGACGGGACCGTCCCGCCCTGCCTTGCCTACCATAGAGCCAGGCACTGGCGAGGAGGGGTTCATGAGCTGCGGGTAGCCAGGCCGTGACATCTGTAGATTCCTCAAGGCTAGTCAGGGTTAAGGCTGATACGTCTGCGTTTGGCCACCCCGGAGCTGCCAGGAAGGGAGCCTTGCCCACTGCCAAGGCTGCTGCCCAGGGACCCCTTCCCCCTAGGCCCCCATTCCTACCCTGCCGCCGCCATCATTTCTGCAGCCTTGCTGAAATTGCTGTTTTCACAGAGGCCAAGACGGACCTAGCAGATGGACCCAGAGAGCCACCGCAGAGTGCCAGGTTTGCATCAGGGAAGGGGTGTGCGGGCAACTCTGAGGGCCCTGGAGGACACGGCCTTGTGTCCTTGCTCAGGGAGGGTGGATGTGTGCTCAGGGGCTTCAGAGCCTCTCTGCTGGGGTGTGGCCTGGTGTTGAGACTTAACCAAGAAGGCGGCTCCATGCTGTGGATGAGCGCCAGCCTGGGAATAGGGCGAACCGATTGTTGACCCTGTCTTAGGGCGGTCTCCTGGCCATGTGACCTCGGACTGTTCACCTCCCTTCCTCTGAGTGGGCAGCAGAGGGTTGGTTAGGCTCTGCAGCCTCTTTCAGCCTAGAGGCCGGTGGCCTGGGCCCGGAATTGTTCACCGGGGTGACTTTTGATGGGCTATAGCGGGCTGCCCTGTGATGCCACCGCCCGCGCCTTGGCAGGAGGAAGCGCAGCTACAAGCAGGCGGTGAGTGAGCTGGACGAGGAGCAGCACCTGGAGGATGAGGAGCTGCAGCCCCCCAGGAGCAAGACCCCTTCCTCACCCTGCCCGTCCAGCAAGGTGAGCCAGGCGCCTGCCCTGCCCTAGAGCCCTGACCCCGTTCGGTACCCTGCCCCGCCTGCCCACTCCTGACCCTGGTCCTCGTCTGCAGGTGGTGCGGCCCCTCCGGACCTTTCTGCACACGGTGCAGAGGAACCAGATGCTCATGACCCCGACCTCAGCCCCCCGCAGCGTCATGAAGTCCTTTATTAAGCGCAACACTCCCCTGCGCGTGGACCCCAAGGTGAGGGGCCTGTGCCCAGGTCGGGCTTTGTGGGAACCAGGCAGTGTGGCTGAAGGTCCAGTCTGTCCCCTAAGATACTGGGAGCAGTGTGAGCCTGGGCGGAGGCAGGTGTGGCCTGGCACTGCTAGGGGCCAGCTGAAGCCTCTGTGGCCACCAGCTGCCTTGACCTCTGGGGGCACTGTCCTGCACTTGACCTTGTGGGCTCTGGACTGCAGCCTGGAGGCTCGGCCGGCTCAGTGTGAGCCCTGGAGATCTGTGTGGTTAAGGTGAGGGGTACTTGTGGACACCTCCACCGTTGGGGTGAGGGTTGGGTGATAGGAGAGGCGGTGGGGGTGCTGCTGGCAGGAGGGCAGGCCCCACACACGCTTGCTGGCACAGCTGGGCATGTGGCCTGCCTGGCAGGACGTCCCCCGGCCTGGCATTAACTCTTACCTTTTCCCTTGTCTCCTCTCCACAGTGCAGCTTCGTCGTAAGTAAAGCCTTTTCCTGTCGGTAACCCACCCCACCTAGCACTTAGCACCTACCACCTCCCGCTGTAGCCCCTTCCCTGTGTAGCTGACAGCACCTGTAGATGCACTAACATCGTAAGCGGGAGGGGAGCCTTAGGAAGAGAGTGGGACGGTGAGGAGTGCACTGGCTGGAGGCGCCCAGCAGTTCTGGGCCCCAGCGTCTTTCTCTGCCCTCCCTGCCCTTGACTCTGCTCCTAGGAGGAAGCGAGGGGGTGCGGCTTTTCACCAGGGCTACAGCTTGACGTGTTCCCCACAGCCACCTCCCTGCCTCCCCCGCAGCACCAGGCCTCCTCAGGGTCTGTGGGTCTTTGAAGAGAACAGACAGGTTGTCTGTGGTCCCCAGAGCCACTGAGATTTATTGGTTCACAGACCTGAGCAGTAGCCTTGAGGCAGTGGGATGACGGGGGAGGGCAAGTGTGGGTCTGAGCTGAGGCAGAAGGCCGGGTCTGGCTGTGCTGGGCGACAGCAGAACAGTGAGTGGTAGCGTCTAGAAACAAGTCACAGAAGCTGTTCTCTTCTCAGACACCTCAGAACTGAACTGAGCCAGGCTGGCTTCTGAGCAAGGACCTTCGGATGGGGACATGCTTAACCCTCAGCCCCAGCTCCCCGTGCCGTTTGCCAAGGCCGCAGCCGCCTCATTCCTTTGGTTCCTGCAAGCCTTCTGAAGAGTCCTCTGCAGTCACACAGGGACACCTGTGACAGCCAGGAGGCTTCTGCCTCCAGCCGAGGGCCTCGGCAGGTGGGAGGGGCTTCCCAGCAGCTGGCCAGGTGGGCCCTGAACTGGCTGCTCCCCATGGAGGCCTGTTCCCCTCTTGTTGGAGAGGGTGACTGACAGTAACCTTCCAGTGGCCTTACCACCTGTGCCGCACCCAGACCGATCAGAGCCCTGCAGGTTTCACGGGGTGATAGAGAAGACCAGGAAGTGGCTTTTTCCTGCTTTGGGGATCCCAGGGCCCTGCACAGGGCATCTAGTGGGTGGGGACAGTCCATAGTTAGGAGCCCAGGGGCCTACGGAGTCCTTTTGGACTGCATCCTGAACATTAGGCTACGAGCCTCTGGGTCTTGTTTAAATCTATGGACAATGTTGATATTTTCTCAGCATTGCAATTTAGCAGCAATTGACCTGGTTAGGTTTAGGCTGCAGGTTCCCATCCGCCTTCTGGGGCCTGTGGTTCCAATGTTAGTCCCGATTTTGAAGACGGCAGTGCTGTTTGCACTTTTCCCAGGTGTGTATGCCAGTCAGCAGTCAGCCTGGGAGCTGGAAGGTGGTCTGTTAGTTTAGTTCTCAGCCTTTGCTGGGATAATTAGGGTGAGATCCTAGCATCTGCAGCTTAGAGCTGAGCCTATTCGTTTGTCAATTCCCTGCAGTATCATTTTCCTGATCTCCTCTGGGGCTCCCTTTTCTGTCCTCCAGCTGGGAAGCTGGTGCTTTAGTTACCTTGTTCTGCTTTGCCTGCTTCTACGACTGTCCAGGGCCACCTGCCAGGGGGACAGAGAAAGAAAAACACACAGGATTTGGCCCACACTTTTGGGATCACAGCTCCTCCTTTGAGTTTTGACTCGGCAGCTTTCTCTGTCCAGGGTCACCTGGCAGGGGCACAGACAGAAGAGCAACACGCAGGGTTTGGGCCACACTTTTGGGTTCACAGCTCCTCCCTCGAATTTTGACTTGGCAGCTTTCTTTAACTGCTGCTGCCCCTGGTTGCGGTAGGACTGCTTATGGGCTGAGGCACAAGGCAAAGAAGAAAAGAGAAAAAACAAAAATAGAGTTTCTACCTTCTCTGAGCATTAGATACTTCCTTTCTGCTGCTTGAGTCAGGACTAGAATTCTTTCTGTCCACGCCCCAATGACTCCTTTGGAGTTCCAGGCTGTATTGAGTTAGGCTGGAGGAAAACATTGGGGAACTCACTGCTGGTTGGCTGGTGCTTCCAGGTCTGGTCTTCTTCCCCATCTGCCTGCTCCTCTTTAGTTTTAGAGGCCTCAAGTAGCCGCTCCTTGCATTCTGTCCAGGTTTTGTAGCCGCGTTCAGTGGGAGAGAGAGGTGGAGTGTGTCTACTCCATCTTACCCGTTACTGGGACCCCTTCTCTCCGCCTTTGGGAGGATGGTATTACCTTGGAGCCAGATTTCTAGGTGAGAGTGCTCCTCCAGTTAGGCTCAGAAGCCAAGGAGAAATCAATAGTAACCAGTACAGGAAGAGCGGGTCACTATTGGACACTGTGTCCAAAGGTGGGAGTCTACTGGGAGCCAGGGTGGGGTGATGGGTGTGGGCTTCACTCTGGGTCCCAGCCTCCACCCAGCCCCAGACTGTTCAAGGGGAAAGCACCAGCCTTGTCCTTGGCCAGGGAAGGCTTAGAGCCCCTGCCCATCCCTGCTGGCTGCCCATTGCTGTGGCTGTGCCCCTGGGGCTTTCTGTGTCTGCCCAGGAGGGGGTGCCAGCATCAATCAGCTTTTCAGCCAATGAGTACTTTTTAAAAGTTGCCTTAAAAATGAGCATAGCCAGCTGGGCATGGTGGCTTACGCCTGTAATCCCAGCACTTTGGGAGGCCAAGGCGGGCGGATCCCTTGAGGTCAGGAGTTCAGGACCAGCCTGGCCAACATAGTGAAACCCCGCCTCTACTAAAGATATAAAAATTAGCTGGGTGTGGTGGCACATGCCTGCAGCTTCAGCTACTTGGGAGGCTGAGGCACAAGAATCGCTTGAACCTGGGAGGTGGAGGTTGCAGTGAGCCGAGATCGCGCCATTGCACTCCAGCCTGGGTGACAGAGCAGACTCTGTCTCCAAAAAAAAGCATAGCCATGTCACAGGAAGTTTGGAAAATAAAAGAAAATTAATACCATTCCTAATCCGTCTCACTAGACTATAGTAACCTCTGTTAGGATTTGACAGTATTTCCTTTTATTTTTTTCAACTATTGTGAAATAGTTCATATACACAAAAAAATACGTATACATATAGTATGGATGTTATAAAGCATGACAGTCGTAAGTTAGCCCTTGCGTCTGCACCACCCCCTTACTGCGACATTCACCGTGACTGGGAGAGCTGCCTTTCTGCTCCTCACCCTTCCAAGCTCATCCTGCATTTTCGTTTTCAATGCGCAGTTTATATAGTTGTCATCAGCACATAAATCCTATTTGGAGCCTGACTTTTGTGATGCCGGAAACTTGGCAGGGCTCAGTTGAGGGCACTGTGGCTCAGGCCCCTGTGAGGCAGCTGAGTGCTCCTGGGAGGAAAGACGGGAGCTGCGGGTCTTGGCCTGGGTGCTGTTGGGGCCACTTTGGGGATACCTCTGCCTAAGAAGCATTCTGATGCTGCCACCCACGTGGCTGCAAGCTGCTGCGGACTGTGGGCAGCTTTTGGGGCTGGGTGGGGGGTTGTCCTTGCTCATGTCCCATCTCCCTCGCTCCCCGCCACCCCAGGAGAAGGAGCGGCAGCGCCTGGAGAACCTGCGGCGGAAGGAGGAGGCCGAGCAGCTGCGCAGGCAGAAGGTGGAGGAGGACAAGCGGCGGCGGCTGGAGGAGGTGAAGCTGTAAGTGGCCTGGCTCCCTGGACCGTGGCCTGCCCCAGCCGTGGCGGGGCTCCCCCTGACTGTCCTGTGCCCCGCAGGAAGCGTGAGGAACGCCTCCGCAAGGTGCTGCAGGCCCGCGAGCGGGTGGAGCAGATGAAGGAGGAGAAGAAGAAGCAGATTGAGCAGAAGTTTGCTCAGATTGATGAGAAGACTGAGAAGGTGGGAGCCTGGGCTCTGGGGGACCCAGGCAATTCAGACTTAGCCCAAGGGTTAGGACTGGACCCCTCAGGAAATTGCTGATTTGTCACTGTACCCCTGTACCCAACTCCTGCCTGCCCCACAGGCCCTGGAGTCCACTCTGAGCTCAGCCGAGGGCTTCCCTGGCAGCCCTTTGTGAGTCGGATCTGACACTCAGGCAGGACCGGCTTCTGGTGTCCTCTCCCTGGGCGGTGGGAACAAGCCAGGTGTGCAGGGGCAGGTGGGGCCTGTCACGCAGAGTTCTGGGCCCCACTCTGCAGGATTGGATGTGGGTGCTCCAATGGGCACTTGTGGGTGGGCTCTGCAGGCCAAGGAGGAGCGGCTGGCGGAGGAGAAGGCCAAGAAAAAAGCGGCAGCCAAGAAGATGGAGGAGGTGGAGGCGCGCAGGAAGCAGGAGGAGGAGGCGCGTAGGCTCAGGTGGCTGCAGCAGGTGCGAGCGCAGGTGGGCCTCAGGGAGGAGGTGGGCGGGGTGGGCACCGTCTCAGCACCATGGGGCCCTATTGGGTGCACCCCGCCTTGTGGGGTTGACCCAGACCATCTTGTTGCTTCATGCTAAGAAGGAGGTTTCCCAGAAGCCTCCAGGGCGGAGATGGTGACCAGAACCTGCCTCTCATCTTCTGTAGCAGCAGTAGTTTGAGGGTTAAGTGCTCATACTTGGAGCCAGACTGCCTATCTCAACTCTGCCATTTATTAGCTGTGCGACCTTGTGCAGGCTGCTTGACCTCTCTGCTTCCATGCCTTCAAGTAACAGTGAGGGTTAAATGTGTTCATGTCTAAAATGCTCAGTAGGGTCTGACGCCTGCTGAGCGTTCTATGCAATTGCTGTTATGGTCCATTCCCAGACTGTTCTGCCTATAAGAGTAAGGGCCCAGCTCGTCCCAGTCAGTCTTAGGACTCTAGAGAAGGCAAATCCATCATTAGGGCTTATGTGACTAGTCACCAAGGTCCGGTATTTACTGTGTGCTAGGCACTGTTCTAAGTGTGTTGTGCCTATAAATCCAGCAACCCCATGAAGTGTAGGAATAACTGCGGCCTCCGTTTTATAGACGAGGAGACAGGCCAGAGGGTTTAAATGCTTGCCCTTGTTTCACAGCTGGCGCGTTTGGCTCCGAGGTTCCTTTCTGCTAAATCTACAGCAGCAGCGGCTGTCCCGAGATGCCTTTTCAGGCTGCTGCTGGTGGTTCTGGCAGAGCCTTGCCCGGGATGTCCCACGGCACCATTCCTGTGTTGTCCGTGCTGGTGGCTGATAGGAGGGGCACCTGGGCTTCGGGCGAGTGGGGCTGCTGTCCTGCCTCTGGCCCTGGCCCAGCCACAGCACCGGACCTTGCTCTCCGTTTCAGGAGGAGGAAGAGCGGCGGCACCAAGAGCTGCTGCAGAAGAAGAAGGAGGAGGAGCAGGAGCGGCTGCGGAAGGCGGCCGAGGCTAAGCGGCTGGCGGAGCAGCGGGAGCAGGAGCGGCGCGAGCAGGAGCGGCAGCTGGCAGAGCAGGAGCGTCGGCGGGAGCAGGAGCGGCTCCAGGCCGAGAGGTGAGGGACCTGCTGGCCCGTCTGCCTGCCCTCCGTGTGTGTGGAAGAGAGACGGTGTGGCCCTTGCCTGGACACGGCCCCACCTGCATGCAAGGGTTTGCAGGTGCTTTCCTTCGCACCAAACCCAGGGGCCTACAGCTAGTGGTCCACCGGAATACACTCCCCATTGGCTATGGGCGATCCAAGGAGTGATGGGTGGGCTTGCTTAGGGCTTGGCTTGGTTCTGCGTCCAGCTGCGTGTGCTGACCTCTTTGGTGTCTTTTTGTAACTGGCAGGTGTGGTGCTCTGAGGATGAGCTGATATCTCTCAGCAGGGCCACCATGGGCATTTTGGGCAGGAGAGATCTTCGTGTTACATTGCAGGTGTTTGGCATCCTTGGCCCCTGTCCCCACTAAATGTGTCTCCCCTGGTGAGGACGATAACTCAGATATTTTCAGACTATTCCCCTGCCTTGGGAACTGTGGACCCAGGAGCCCTGAGATCTTTCAGCTGTGCAGATGCAGTGGTCTCTGTACAACAGACATGTTTAGTTTTATGGGCATTTGTCCAGGGCCTGCCCTGAGCCTGGTTGTTCTGAGAGTCGTGGGGATGCCAAGGAGGAAAAGCCACACTCACTGTTGGTCGGGAGATACGTGGGATCCTGCGTCTGTGCGCGCAGTAGAGCACAAGGCTCGTGTGTGTGAGACACGCAGGCCCCGTAGCTGTTCCCTCTCCCTCTCTACCTCCTGGGAAACACCGGGCAGCACTTTTTTTCCGTGTCCATCTTTGTGGGTGGCTTCAGGCTTATCAGAGCAGTGAGAAGTCACAGCCAGAGGGCTGCACTGCGTCAGGGCTGCTTGATGGAGACAAAGCCGTCCGTGGTTCTCTGGTCAGAGTCTGGGAAGGCGTAGGGTACAGCTAATGTGGTTTGAGACTTGCAGGGTGCTGGGCAGGGCAGGGGGCTTTGAGGGTGGCGGTGTGATAGTCACAGTGTCGGCAGCTTTGGTGGGTTACCCCAGCTGCATGCTTTACACCTGTTTCCTTGTTTAGTCCTCAGCTGAAGCCCATGGTGGCGTGGGAGCCATCAGCTCCACTTCACGCAGGGAGAGACAGGTCCAGAGAGGTTAAATGACATGTTCAAAGTCATGAGCCAGTGTGTTGTGGCGGTGACTCCAGAACTCATCCACAGCCCCTTGTTCGTGCTTGTTCATGCTTGTTCATGCTTGTTCATGCTTGGAGCCGGTGTCTGCCCTGAGGGTTAGGATAATTAGGGGTATTGTGGATCATCCCATTTGATTCTTGTGTTGACCCTGGAGGAAGTGTGTTCTGGTCTCCATTGTATAAAAGTGTTATGAGGCTCAGAGACCTAAGTTACAAGGAAAAGTGGGGGCCAAATGTTGGGCTTCAGCTTGTGTTCCCTGCACCCTCTGGTGTGTACACTTCTAGCCTCTGGGGCAAAAGCGCAGCTCTTGGCTCTAAGCTGGTTGCCCATTGGGCAATTCCACCGTCTAAGGTGTGTCCTGCTGGCTGTGCTGGCTTCCCTAGCAGGGATGGGAACAGGGCTTGGGCTGGGGCTCCACTTCCTGTCCTAACAGGCTCTTGCTGGGTCCTCAGGGAGCTACAGGAGCGGGAGAAGGCCCTGCGGCTGCAGAAGGAGCGGCTGCAGAGGGAACTGGAGGAGAAGAAGAAGAAGGTGAGGGGAGCTGGGTTGCAGGCTCTCCTGGGGTCTGCTCTGAGCTGTGGGCTGGTCTAGACTCCCGCGGCAGGGGCTGCCTAGGGAGGGGAAGGAAAGGGAGGGGAGGGAAGGGCACCTGCACAGCTCCCTAACACCCCATTGCCGCCTGGTTCCAGGAAGAGCAGCAGCGTCTGGCTGAGCGGCAGCTGCAGGAGGAGCAAGAGAAGAAAGCCAAGGAGGCAGCAGGGGCCAGCAAAGCCCTGAACGTGACTGTGGACGTGCAGGTGCAGCCTGGGCCCCAGTGGAGAGGCCTTCGGGTGGAGGGGCCCAGTCTGATTATTCTCTTCCCAGTAGCTGGAGGCACAGGCTACGTTAGGCCCCTAAGGAAAAGGACAGATACACTTGGCCCAGTTGTTTTTACTATTTTTTGTATTCTTTGTTATTCTAAAAGTAGAATTTGTTGAGGTGGGGGATAAAAAGGAGCTAAACCTTATAAAAGAGTATAAAGTTTTAAGAAAAGGGACCCTCAGGAAAACTCTACTAAGCCCATTGTATATCCTTGTAGATTTTTGCGTATGTAACCCTTTTAACACACACAGATATTCTCTGTCTCTCTTTTTCACCCATATACACACATATTTAAAATGGGCACGTACCATTTGGTGGCTTGATTTCCAGTCCCCTCACCCCCACGGTTTTTTTTTCGCTCCGCATATTTTGTAGACATCTGTCTGTTTCAGCACAGGTAAATTGCTTAGTTTTGAGGGCCGTGTACCTTCATTGTGCTGGAATTCAGCCGGCTTCTCTTGATGAGCATTTGATCTATTTTCACTTCAGTGCTGTTACCAAACAAAACATAATGTTTTCATTGCAGCACAGTTAAGATGCGGAAAACTTGGAAGTTAGTATGGTATCTGTCAACGATGGATGGTTAAGTTGCAAATCCTGGAGTCTCCTGAGCGGTTCCCAGGAGGATTCTAGACACACTGACCTGGAAGAAAGTTTGCAATACACCTTAGCATGAAAAAAGGAGACACAGAGTAGTGTGTGTTCTGTGACTTTTTAAAATTAAAAAGTAGGCCTGGTGCAGTGGTTCTCGCCTGTAATCCCAGCATACTGGAAGGCCAAGGCAGGCGGATTACTTGAGGTCACGAGTTCGAGACCAGCCTGGTCAACATGGTGAAACCCAGTCCCTTACTAAACATACAAAAAATTAGCCGGGTGTGGTGGTACACACCTGTAATCCAGCTACTTGGGAAAGCTGAGGCATGAGAATCTCTTGAACCTGGGAGGTGGAGGTTGCAGTGAGCTGAGATCACACCACTGCACTCCAGTCTGGGCGACAGTGAGATTCTGTCTCAAAAAAAGAAAAAAAAAAAAAAGTGATCCTGCACCTTTTGTTTCTCCTGTGAAATGGGAGGAGGTGAGCAGTGCCCCAGCGCTCCTTGGTGGTGAGAGACCGGAATGCCACGAAGGGAGCTGATGGCCATGTTTGTTTTTCCAGTCTCCAGCTTGTACCTCATATCAGATGACTCCGCAAGGGCGCAGAGCCCCTCCCAAGATCAACCCAGATAACTACGGGATGGATCTGAATAGCGACGACTCCACCGATGATGAGGCCCATCCCCGGAAGCCCATCCCCAACTGGGCCCGAGGTAAGCAAAGCCCACAGCTCCCTGGGAGACTCAGGCCCTCCCTGGTCCTCACCTTGAGGGCCCTGGAAGTAGTGGGTTGGCTGCTATGGTGTTGGGAGGCTGCTGAGTGCTTGAGTTGGCGGCTCGAGGCTCTGGCCTTGGGCATGCATGTGCCCGGGGGAGAGTGGGGCACCCTGTGGTCATTGTGCTTTCCTGAGGACCAGACCTATGAGGTTGGGTTCCTTTGTTCTCAAAAAAATATATGAAATTGCACTGGCCTCGGGCACGGCATATACTGCTGGGTGTCCTGACTTGGACTGGGCCTCTCCTTAGAGTCACATCCAGCAAGGCTGAAGAGACTTGGACCCAAGTAAGCCACCTGGGGCAGGGACAGAGCTAGAATGGGAACGGGTTTAGGCAGAACACCAAGCTGGAGCCTGGGGCCTCTGGCCAGCTAGGGGAGGCAGGAAAGGCCCTGAGGAGTGCGCGAGGCACTTGAGTAGGATCTGACCTGGAGTTTACAGGCCCCAGCATTAAACAAGAACGTGGGTGAGCGTGACTGCAGTGCCTCAGGCCTGAGTGCAACGCCAGCTTGAGTGAGCAGGGTAGGTGCTAGCAGTGGGTGCTGCCAGAGTGGATAGGGCCAGTGGGTACCATGGGTGCCTTGCAGTGTTTGCTGAGCTGGAAGTCAGGGAGGGGTGCAGATGCCCTAGAGGGAAGGGCCTGGAATCCCATAGCTGGTAGGCACTCTGCAGAAACTTGTTTTTGTGAGTTTCACCTCATCTGAACCCTACCGTAACTGGCATGTGCTTTAAGCCTCTTAACTGCTAGTGTCAAGTTGTTTGGGAGATGGCAGTGAGCAGAAGCCAGATCGCTTGCAAAGCCACCTAATCGGAGGTGACTTTGAACAGCTTACTTAAATAGTTTCCTCATCTGTGAAAGGGGGGTGATGACAAGACCCAGCTGAGGAGTTGTATTGAGAGTGACATGAGTGAGCTCACGGCTGGCCCTTAGAGCCACACCTGGTGCTGAGCAAGTGCTGGTGCATGTCTGGCCTCCTGATCCCCTGGGTCTTCCTCAGCCCCGTTGTCAGGACTGTGTGCTCCCACATCCACTGCCTAGCGGCCCCTCAGCACTGCGCCAGGGCCTGTGGGGTCTATGAGAAGCAGCTGGCCAGGGTGGTCGAGGATGGCATCCTATGCTTAAGCTCTCGAGCTTGGCTTGTCTTCACACATAGGCTCTGCCATCGTTAGCTGTATGCCTTTAGGCAAATCTGCTGAATGGGAGAATACAGAACCTGCTTCCCAGGTGGTGGTCGGGACAGGTTCAAGGAGTGCCTGGCTCATGCGAGCTCTCGAGGACTTTGTACAGGTTAAGCTGCCAGAGGACGGTAGGAAGGATGTGACACAAGGGCGTTCTCTGGGTTTGATGGTGGTACAGGCAGGGGCAGGGCTGAAGAGGGTGACAGAGCTCTCTGTAGGGAGGCTGGAGAGGGTGACAGGGCTCTCTGTAGGGAGGCTGGAGAGGGTGACAGGGCTCTTTGGGGGGCAGGGGATGGGGAGGTTCATGGAGAGCCCCAAGGCAGTGTCTGGTCTGTCGTCTCCTGTAGGCACGCCGCTCAGCCAGGCCATCATTCACCAGTACTACCACCCGCCGAACCTTCTGGAGCTCTTTGGAGCCATTCTCCCGCTGGACTTGGAGGATATCTTCAAGAAGAGCAAGCCCCGCTATCACAAGCGCACCAGCTCTGCTGTCTGGAACTCACCGCCTCTGCAGGGCGCCAGGGTCCCCAGCAGCCTGGCCTACAGCCTGAAGAAGCACTGAGGCTGGCCTGCGTCTTTCTTAGCAGCCTCACCTCCTGTCTATGTCTATCTATCTGTCTGTCGGTCTCTGTCTTGGTCTGTCCACCTCCTTCTTGGCATGCCATTGTGGAGGGCTTGGCCAGGTGTATATAAACGTCCTCTGTGCTGGGTGTTCCTGCTGCAGGTGGCAGGTGGCCCCAGGCCTGTTTGGAGGATGGGCTGGGCGGGTGGGTGGGGAAGAACCGGGCCCAGCCCCACATGACCTGCAGACAGTGCTCTGTAAATAGTTGTTTTAATTTAGCTGAATGTTAGCGTTTTAGTCTTTGGCATTTTAGTGTTTGGGAGGTAGATTAATAAAGTATATTCCTTCAAGCCTGCTGTTGATACCGTGAAGACTGGGCGCCTCAGCCCTGGCCCTGTAGCTGTGTGTCTTAGGCCACCGGTGGCCTGCAGGACCAAGGTACTGTTCCATCCCCTGCGGTGTGCCTCAGGATCACCGGGTGCAGACGCCCGCCCTCGGAGATGCTGCTGCAGTGGGTGCTTCCACTGCCTGGATAACCCCTGAGGAACACTTCAGTTACTGTCACGATGGGGCAGGTGGAGCTCCTCCCTGTTTTTTGGGGTGCTCCCTGTTTGTAACGGGAAACTTGCTCATTGGGAAAGACCTGTGTCTTGACACAGCCCTGCCACTTAGTCCCCTACCCTCTCTATTCCCCAGGCTCCACCCTTGCTGCACAGGTACAAATGGACCTGAGAACATCTGTGTGCTGGTGAAGCATGAGGTCTGAGTAGAAAAGGGGTATCCCTTGAGACCACCTTGGGACCAGTGCTTGCAAGCAGCGAGATATTTCCCCAGCAAAACCAGGCAGCTGCCAATTAAATGCTTAGCGCCAATGAAAGCTGGCTGTGGTCCTGCCTGTGAGCTGCCTGCTGCTGCCTTCTGAATGCATACATCTGCTCCTCTAGCCCGGGGTTGCCAAACTGTGGCCTGTGGGCCAAATCCAGCCACAGTCAGTTCTTTAAAGTTTTATCGAAACACAAGCGATAGAAATGCCCATTTACCGGTTGTCTCCAGTTGCTCTGCTCTGAGGGCAGTGTTAAGTTGTGCAGCAGAGGCCCATCCATGCAAAGCTGAAAATGTTTACTATTTGAACTTTTACAGAAGTTCTGCTTAAGGACAAAATAAAGCCTAAATCCAAGAATACTTTTAAAAATGAGGAAATAGTGAACACAATAGATGGAAGTCTGGAAGTTTCTACCCATGCCAAGAAAAGCGTTTTATGGTTTGTTCAAATATGTTGTGCAGTTCAAATTTTTTCCCGATATTCTCTGACTAGACACTTGTACTGAGTAAACTGGTGAGTGTGTCTGTCTAAAACCACAATATCAAAATATCACTTAAAGGATCTTTATATAGTGTGTTTAAGAAAAAGTTATTATTCAGCAGAAAGGTAATTGCAATTGGTCTGCATATTTATCAACACTTGGTATTGTCTGTTTCTTATTTTAGCCATGCAAATAGGTGTGTACAGATATCTAATCATGGCTTTAATTTGAATTTCCCTAATGGCTGATGGTGAACATCTTTTCATGTACATTTCTGTCATCTGTATATCTTTGGTGAAGAGTCTTTAAATCTTTTGTTCATCTTAAAATTGCATTGTTATGTTACCGTTGGGTTTAAGAATCTTTACATATTATGGATACAAATATGTTGTCAGATATATGCTTTGCAGTATTTTCTCCCAATCTGTAGCTTGTCTTTTTAAAAAAAATTTTTTTGTAGAGATGGGGTCTTGCTTTATTGTCCAGGCTGGTCTCAAACTCCTGGTCTGAAGCGATCCTTCTGCCTTGGCCTCCCAAAGTGCTGAGATTGTAGGCATGAGCTGCCATGCCTAGCCCAGCTTTTTGTTTACTTACCAGTGCTTTTCACAGGACAAAAATTTTAATTCGATGAAGTCCAATTAATTAAATTTTAAAAATAGAGTGTGTTTTTTTGTCATGTCTAAGAAACCATTGTCTAGTCCTAGGTCCTAATTCTCCTTTGTTTTCCTCTAAATGTTTTTTATTTTACATGTTACATGTAGATTTATGATCTATTTTGAGTTAGCTTTTTTTTAAGTATGAAGTTTATGTTTTTTGTTTGTGTTTAGGAGCATATGGATGGATGTCTAATTGTTCCAGCACCATTTGTTGGAAAGACTACCCTTTCTCTGCTGAATTTCTTTTATATCTTTGCCAGGAATTAGCCATATTGGTGTGGGTCTATTTCTAGACTTTTTATTTTCTCCCATTGATCTGTACCTCTCTCCTTTTGCCAATACCACATAAATCAAGATGACTATAGCTTTGTAATAAGTATTAAAATCTGGTAATATAATTCTTCCAATTTTATTTTTCTTTCAAAATTATTTTGACTATTGTATCAGTGTTACCTTTCCATTTAAATTTTAGGGTTAGCTTATCTACAAAAGTCCTGCTGGGATTTTGATTGGAATTGCATTAAATCTGTAGATAAGTTTGGGGAGAATGAACGTATTTATGATCGTCTTTTAATCTGTGAACATGACGTGTCTCTCCATTTATTTGCATGTTTAGTTTCTTCAGCATTTTATAGTTTCAGCATACAGATCCTGTACATATTTTCTTAGATTTGTAACTATTTATTTTCTTGGAGCTGTTGTAAATGGTCTTGTTTTTCTGATTTTTGGTTTCCACTTGTTCATTGCTGGTGTATAGAAATACAGTTGACTTTTGTGTCAACTTTGTATCCCGTGATGCAAGTAAAGCAGTACTGAGGGGAATTTATAGGGCTCAATGCCTGTGTTAGAAAAAAGGTCTCAAATCAGTGACCTCAGCTTCTACTTTAAGAAACTAGAAAAAAAAAAGAGCAAATTAAAAGTGTACACAGAGAAGGGGAAATCATGCAAGTAGAGCAGAAATCAGACATTAGAAAGAGAAAATACAGAAAATTAATTAACCAAAAGCTAGTTCTTTGAGAAGCTCAAGAAAATTCTATTTAGACTGATCAGAAGAAAAGATAGATTACCAATGTCAGAAATTAGGTAGCTTCACTACAGATTCTACAGATATTAAAACAATAAGAGACTATTATGAACAACCTCTAGGAATACCTTTGACAGTTTAGATGAAAGCAGTGCAGATTCCTTAAAAGATACAGATTAGTTTACTTAGGAAGAAATGGAAAACCTACACAGCTCTATCAAAGATGTGTTATCACAAAGAAAACGGTAGACATAGGTAGGTTTAGTGGTAAATGTTGCCACATGTTTAAGGAAATAATACTAATTCTACACAACCGCTCACATGAAATATAAGAGGAAAGAATACTCAGTTCTGTCTCTGAGGCCAGCATTGCTTTGGTCCCCAAATCAGACATTGCAAGAAAAGAAGACAATTATCCCTCATGAACATCAACACAAGAATTATCTTAGAGTTTCATCAAGTCCAAGTTAAATAAAAAGGATTACACTTTTTGTTGTTGTTGTTGGAGACAGGGTCTCACTCTGTTGCCCAGGCTGGAGTGCAGTGGTGGGATCTCAGCAACCATATCCAAACCACACCAATATCCCTTTCATTTTCAGGGTACTTTCTGACCTTGGTTAAAACTGCCATTTCCCCTAGTAATCAGAAAAGCCTTATTGTGGGGTTTTTGATACCTTTTTATAGTTTTATGTTGTCTTCTTTGTTTTAAGGCATATATGAAGTTGCTTCAAAATTGGGAACAAGAATTGTCACATTCTTTTGTTTTTTCTTCATATTTTCTCCATATTTTTCTTGTTCTCCTCTTTTGTCCTCCAATCCTGGGAGGAAAGTAAGTGTCATGGGTGAGGAATTTCCACTTCCTGGACCACTGGAGTCTCTGGGACCATCCACAGTCCCTCAGCCTGGGAGAGTGCTCTGTTCTTCAGCATACTAAAAATGGCCCTAGCCTGCCCTTAAATGACTCTAGAGGGGTCATTCAAGTGTACGTTTGTATGTAAGATGATTAATATGTCAAATGTGGCTAAAAGGAGCCAGGAGGATCTTTAGACACAGTAATCTTTAGACACAGATCTTTAGACATATTCCCCCAGCCACCCTTCAGAGGTGGGGAATTTTGGTTCTTCCCTGGTAAATCTCCGTCAAATTACTAATTATTGATCTCTGATAATTACTAATTTTTGATCCCTACTTCATGATTATCTCCTTTACAGCTGGTGAGCAAGCCACTGATTCTAGACTTTCATGACTTTCTGATGGCTTCTTACTGACCAAATGATAAACCGCTCAGGATTTCCTGTCTGTGCTGTGTGGGTTAATGTCCCCTGAGCCACCTTCTTTCTCAAATTGCTGTTATAATGTCTTAATCCACAAGGAAGGTCTTGTGTGGACACATGTATAAATCCAGAGTGTTCTGGTAGGATTATAGCTCCCCTTGCACTAAGGGGTTCCCAGGGCACTTACATGATGTGTAGTTGTTGTTATTCACCGCCCCCCCAGGGGCTGGATCTTATCCCCTGCGCAAAATCAGAAGCAGTTTCCCTAGTCTTGGTTCACCTGGTTGCAGTTCTCACCCTCTTCCTAGGAGTCCACTCTGCTGAGTTCCCATCAGGTCTTTGTCTGCACTGACTCTACGCCAGGTAGCTGGAGGTTGGACCGCTCCTTCAGCCTAGATACTTTCTTTATTTCTCTCTTCATCATGTCCTCCAAAAAGCCTCATCTGAATGTGTAGGTTGGTTTAGGTGGCTAGTTTTCTTTCTTTCTTTCTTTTTTTTTGAGGTGGGGTCTGGCTTTGTCACCCAGGCTGGAGTGCAGTGGTGCGATCTCGGATCGCTGCAACTCCGCCTCCCAGGTTCAAGCGATTCTTCTGCCTCAGCCTCCCGAGTAGCTGGGAT